AGTTGCCCACCCTGAGACCCAACCAAGGAAAGCCATGGTCTCCTTGTTCAGTGTCAAGATGCGTCCGTGCTTAGAAGGAACCTGGGTCCGCAGCTTGAGGAGGAAGTCCACTCTAAGCCTGTAGACGGGGACATGGGAAAGCTGGCAAGGGAGGTCACTGCTCTGAAACGGACTCTGTCTTGCCTTGAATTAGCGTGAGGTCACCTGCAGCCAAATCCACCTGCTACAGCATGGCTCTCTGAGGACAAAGAAACTGGAGCTCTGCACCTGCAGAGGGAAACCTCGGTCAGTCCTGTCAGCAGGTGTAGGTTACTCTGAGTTTTTACTGCAGACTTTATAGACAGGAGCTGGGGAATGATGGCAGTACTCTGCCCTGCGAGAATCAAGAGTCGCGGCCACAGCACGTCACCAGGCTTGGCCAGCCATTCCCAGGGACAGTGCATCCTGGGGCTGGTCATTCTCCACTACTCCTGAGGCAGGAAGGTCACTGTAAGTTATGGGAATTGACTACCGGAGTGAGACATGAAAGTCCATGTCACTGGCCTAGAATAATTAGTCTCCCGATCTCAAAAGGAAAGGAGAGGAGTGCCTTCAAATGCCTTCAAAGCACCTACCAGGTGCTGGGACCTGCAGGCCTCCAATCAATCCTCATAGTACTGTGCAAAGTTTAGTTGGCCTGTTTTGCTAATGGGAGCACTAAGGTGACAGGTGACACCACACACAGTAGTGAATGCCACCATTCAGTACAAACTGTTCCTGTGGAGGATGGGCAGAGGCCAGGGGAGCCTGCAGGCCTCCTCCGTGGACCTTGTGCCATTTGGCTCCATTTGACAGAGGAGATAGATGGTCGTGGCTCAAGACCACTCAGCTGCTGGGCAGAGTCACCCAGGATGACCTGGAAGGCTGGCTCTTCCTCCAGAGCCCCTCCATCATCACCTCGTCCTGCTCTCCCTCGGACAAGGCAGGAACAGGGCATCTCTGTTCAGCTCACCCAAGGACAGCAGCCGGGCACATGTAGGGGTCGCTGTCTCCACCTGGAGTGGAATATGCCGTGTCCTGCAATGTGCATTTCAGGTTCTTGGGGCGGTGTCCAGAGGGCGAGGGGGAAGCTGCTAATTGCTTGTTGGTTCAGGAGCAGTGTTATCTCTATGGACGAATGTAAGAACTTTCTGATGTCAGAAAATGCAAACTATGTGGCGCAACCCGTTTGCCATTTTGTCTTTGCATTAGTAGGCTGACAGCAAAATATATTGCTCAAGCATGGTAGGGTTGTTCCATGCAAGCACCAGAAGGCATTTGCTCCACCTCCGTAACTCAAAAAGACACTTTAAAAAAAATCATGGAGGACATAGATAGGAAACTGCTGTGTGAGCCTATATGGTGAATTTCAGATGGATTGTCTACTTTTTTTTTTTTAATGGATGTGGTTGTTGGTGTTTTCTGGCTTATTTTTTATTGGGAGATGTCTTTAGATATTTATTCACTTACATGTTACTTTCTTTGATAATCCATGCTTGGATACAAGAGGATGAAGCAGCTTTGTGCTAGTGTCCAGTAGGTCTCCCCCTCTCCTGAGCCCCAGGCTAGGCCTCCCTTCCAGGAAGCAGCTTAAAGCTACTTTGTGCTCAGCCCATCTCTATACTCCCTGTGCACACAAGAGGTAGCTCTCCCAGCCTGCAGCTTTGTCCTGGATCACGTTAGATTTTTTTTTTTTTTTTTTTGGATGACTGCAGTGGGATTTATTTATTATCCCCTCTGAGTGGTCATGTAGGAAGTTCCTATATTTTTCTTCACGTATAATTGTGCAATTAATATTCTCACGTTCATGTCTGTGTCCATATCTGCAAGTGTAACTGGGAGATAAATTGCTAGTATTGCAGGAGTTAAAAAAAAAAAGTCACGTTTTAATTTTAACAATTATGACCCACTTGCCTCCCAAAGAGGCCAGACATGTGTTTGACTTCAAACAGCACCGAGCATGCCTGTTCTCCCAAGCCCACTGGCTCAGGGAGTTATCAGACTTCAAATCTCTGCCAATCTGAGAGGGACAAAGGGCATCTGGTAGTCTCCACTGCATTTTTCTCATTATGAGATTGAACAGCAGACGATCTCTTTAGCAGACTTATTTTGCTCCTGGTTTTAATCTTAAAATACCCTAAATCCTCTTAGAAGTAGGTAAGGTCGGATCTTAAATCTGGATGGATTTATGTAATGGGTTTATGAAAGGCATAGAGACTTAGTCAAAAGGGGGGGGGGTCATGCTACGTCAAAGGCCTCTCCCTCGGGCCCCCCAGCCCATCCCTGATCTCTCTCCTGTTGCAGGGCGGGTCCAGAGCTGCTGTTGCCCCATGGGTCTACACACCACCCCTGGGCCACACCCCTGTCTGGGAAGTCAGGCCTCTGGACCTCCTCAGATCCTGAGCTCAGAGTTCAGATGGGCTGATGGGTGGTAACAGTGACTCAAAGCACCAGATAAATGAGGAAATGGTGAGAGGGTCTGGGGCCATGGATCCCTGGAAGACCAAGTCTCACTGGGGCAACAAGAGAGATGCCTGGATATGCATCTGTTCCCAATCACAGCCCACTTCCTCCTCCGCTGTCTCATCCCAGCCTTTGCAACCTGCCTGCGAGCTCAGAATCACTAGCGCACCTTTCCCAGATGAGGAAACAAAGCTCAGAGAGCATTGGCAACCTGCCCAACCACATACACAGTGAATGGCAGCTAAATCCAAACCAGACCTTCCTGGCCCCCACTGGCAGGGCCCGTGTGGCTGCCTCCTGAGGGCAGATCCAGGACCCCAGCTGGTCTCCACCCCGGGGACTCACATGCTAGGGGAACCCTCCTGGGACATCAGCCAGCCCCTCACGGAACAGAGGCGCCTCCCCTGGTCTAGATCCTACATCACATGCACCCCTGAAAAGTTCACCGCATCTGGACCATGGAGGTTCATGCGGCCATTTTTAATTTAGAATAGAGCTAAGATTGGAATCCAAGGCGGTCTCACTCTGAATCTACTGCTCCGTCTTCCCCTCCCCGAGAAGTCAAGAAGTTTTCCTGGTGAAAGAATCAGTGGCTCCAGGGTATGTGAGACAAGACCACTGGTCACTTTGTCTCTCTCCCTCCGAGAGAGGGGACTCCTGAGGGGCCTGGGCAATGTTCTCGGGCAGGGAAAGTGAGTCTGAAGACCTCATACTCCATCTGGAGTTTATCAGCCTGCTCCCCGGGTAGGATTACAGTCAACAATTATCTACAGATCTGGAGCCAGCAGGGACTTTGAAGGCCCCAACTGCCAAGAGGGGGCCAGGCGAGGAGGGGCGGGGGACCCGGAGATGAAAACGTAGCCGGGCATCTTATCTTCCTGCTGAGAGCAGACGGGCTGGCTGGGCAGTCGGGAGCACGCCCCCCAACTCAAGGCAGACGTCCTGCGGCCACCCGAGGTGGAGAGGCACCCGGGAGGCCCCTCCCTGCCCTCCCACTCATGTCTTCACTCAGTGCCACCCTCACCACGGCTCATCTGCTCGACCTCGCCCTCAGCCCAGAGTGATGCCAGGCGCCTCTTTCCTCTTAGTCTCCACGAGGACTCCCTGAGAAGGGGCCCAGATGCGCCCTGTTTCTCAGATGAGGAAAATCAGGCCCCATGAGGCCAAGTGACGGGATCAGCACAGATGGCCCAGAGGGGAGAGGCCCAGTCTGCATTCCCCTGAACCTGCTAGAGGCCAGCTCGCACTTCTCCTGTCCTAACCATTTTCCATGTTCCTTGCCCTTTCTCAGGGGTCTCCTCTCCCCTTTCCTGGCTTGCGCTGTCTCCTTGGCACCCACCCCCTGGAACCAGCTCTGTGCCCTACGGTCAGGCCAGGTGCCCCTGACGCACATCTACCAAGAAAGAGAGAGGAGTGCACCTCCGTAGCAGAGCCCTCCTCTGGGGCCATGGGTCTGGCCTCTCAGGGCTCATTGGTCCCTGTGCTGCCCAACTCGCTCAGCTTTGAGAGCCCGATTCTGATTCCGATGGTGCCTCCTCCAAGCACATCTTGAGATTGGAGTGGTTTGGGAATCCAAATGGCTCCACGGAGACTTCCTGGGGTGTCAGCCTCATAAGACTCCCACCCTTGCTGCCCTGGCCTGTGTCCCTTCACTGACCACCAGTGAGGACCTGCTGGCTCTCATCCTCCAGCTGTCCATTCATTCTGGCCCCCCCTCTGTTCTAGACCTGCCCCTTCAGGAGGACAGGATGAGGCCCAGGCCTGTGTTCCGGGTCTGGGCACCTTTCCTTCCAGCAGGTCTTATTGTCTCTTCTCCAGTACCCACAGGGCCTGGCACAGGTCAAGTGCTACAGGCACAGGGTACAATAGCCGTGCCACCATTTCCTGAAACACTCTGGGTGCCAGCAGAGGACCAGGCCACGTAGCTGTAGCATGCTGTCACTCAAAGTGCCTGCCCCTCCCCATCTCAGATGAGGCATGACTCAGGGAGGCATGAGATCTCGCCGGGGACAACCAGCTCTCTCTCCCTGGACTGGAATCACAAGCCAAGGAACACAGAAAGGGAGGCCCGAATGCATACCACGCGGGGCGCTTTCCCTCCCGCCACCTCCTAGACCCCCAGAGAGATGCCAGCTTCTGTAGCTGTCCTTTCTGGCTGGCTTCCCATCGGTTCTGTGAGCTTCCCACCATCCCTCCAATACCTTGCTCAGCCTGTGAAAGTCAGTTTCAGTGCTTGCAAATAGCACATCCTATGTGGGCCCCCAAGGCCTGGCTCCCAGGCCGGCTCTTGACGTCCTTCCGCCTCGTCAGCTGTCTTGGCTGCTGTCTTTCCCGGAGCTCCTCTGACCTGTCCCCTTCCCACCCCTGAGCCTCTCCCACCCTGGTCCCAGCATCAGGGGGCCCCTCTGCATTTCTGCAGAGTAAGTACCAGGATGGGCGTCCTGCGTCTCTGGGTCCCGTGGCCTACGTGGGGCTGTGCACGTGTATGAGGCTGTGAGCTGGATGTTTCTGCCCACTTCACTGTAACCTGGATTTTCCTGATTTAGGAACATCCATCTATCTTAACATTTATCTTATTTAGACCAAAGTGAAAAAAAATTGGACTTTAAAGAGATCTTCAGGTGAGTTCTACATTTCGGTTGCATTTCTAATGTCTTTGTCCTGGGTTCAGGAATTCAGGCCTCGTGACTGGCTGTTAGGAGTCCTCCACTTTGTACATGTACTTCTCTTCCTATCTCTGCATCTCCATACCGAGTACTTACTGTGGAATCTGGGATGTTTCTGAGGCTGTAAACAAGAAAGGAGAAAACAGGTAATGAAGTAAGAGGAGAGATGTTTCAGATCTGGTTGAGAAATAAGGCTGGATGGAGGCTCTTCTCATCAGGGAGCATCTTCTCCCTGTCAGGAGCTGTTTCTGAGAGTCCCCTGTTATCTCATTAGCCCTCACCACAAGCCTCGTGGGCAAAGGAATTATCATCCCTATTTCACAGATTAGGAAACTGAGGTTTCAAGAGTAAATTGCCCAGAGATGTCTTAGTGGGAGAGTGATAAGCCAGTGTGAGCACCCAGGCCTGTCTAATCTAAGCAGAGGGGAGGAGGATGTTGAGAGGTGGGCAGAAAGGCAGCTAAGACAGACGGAGACCCTCGGGTGGGGGCTCCATGTTGGATGTTGTACACCTAGTAGCTCTTGTACAGGAGAGAAAATAGGGACTCAGAGAGATGCAGAGGCTTGCCCAGGGACACAGAGCAAGAAAATAGATGGGTCTGAACCAAGCTGTTGGTTCCACTGCTCTGGGACACCACCCCAGATAGGAGCTTCATTTTTATTAGGATCTGAAAGGTACTCACTTGGGCTGGGGGTGCACCTCAGTGGCTGCGTACTGGCCTGCGTGTGTGAAGTCCTGGGTTTCATTCCAGCACTGTCCAGAAAAAAAAAAAAAAAAAAGTTACCCAAAGCACAGCCTTTCCCCTGAAATAGTGGTGTGCTCACCCTCCTTCTGATGCTCCATCCAGGTTCCCAGTAAAGACTTGCAGCCCCACCCAGCCTGCACCCCATCAGCAGAACATCAACTTAATCTGGCCCAAAGTTCATGCAAAGGTTTGCAGAATCCCCAAAAGGTGACAGACGCTCCCTGGTTGGAGGATGAGTCACCAATATGCCCTTAAGGACTCTGGCAGTCTTAGGTTGAGAAGACACAGACCCAGGTGACTTTACAAAGACACAGAAAGCACCAGGGTGACCCAAAGAGGGAAAGCAAGTGGCTGGTTTCTGGAGTCAGAGCCCCCAGGCCAGAATCTGGCCCAGTCTCCCAGTCCCTTCCAATGAAGGAGTCTTGGCTGGAAAACTTGGCAAAATGGGAACAATAAAGACAGGTCTCCCAGAACTGCTGGAGCTTTAGATATGAGTGCACCTGGGAGGTGGGGGGGGGGCGCTGCCAAAACAGAGTGTTTGGGTGGGATCTGTGTTTATGACCAAAGGAAATGACAAGGACTTCAGGGAGGTTGGTGGTAGAAGCTGACTTTGGGGCTGCAGGTAACTGCCCAGGTCAGGACTTGCCCAGTGTCCGCCATCCCAGGCCCAGCTCCACACCACCTGCAGGTACTCCGATTTTCCTGTGAGATCCATTTGTCCTCTTCTGTTTGAACACGAGTGTCTGTTCTAGGGGGAAACTTTTTTGCTTGGGAAGCAAGAATGTAACCAAGAATGTAAGTGGAGGGGCTGAGGGCATCATTTGGTGGTGGAACAGGAGGCCCTGGGTTCCATCACCAGCACCGAAACCAAAAACAAGTCAAAAACAATGAGACAGCAGTGTCACGGCGGAGAGGGATGATCAAAGCCCCAAACACTCAAGGCAGGCCCGGGTTCCAGCAGGCTCTCTGGTGAAATCTAAAGTCACGGGTTAGGAAAAGAGTTAATGATAAACCAGCAGCACTGAGGACTTGGCTCCTCAGCTACTCAAAAACCAGCAGAAAATCGAGAGGGGGGCGGTAACCACATCCCAAGGCTGTAGGAGCTGGAAGTAGGGGAGGGGGCTTTCAACAACCCTGGAAAATTGAGACCCAAAAGTGAGAAGGAGAAGGAAAGGAGGGGAGGGTTATAGCTCCGCTCCCCCACCCCTGCCAAACTCAGGGCCTGGGACCCCTCTCCTTAATCCTTCCCTGACTCCCATCCCCCCCTCCCCGCCTTCTCCAACTGCTGGCCTGATTCTGTGAGCTGCTCCGTCTGCCCCCTATGTAGTTCTGATTTCTGATTCTATCTTGGCTCCAGGAGGCATTATCTCTATCTCTGTAATAGCTTCTCAAGCAAAACACTGGACTGGGCCAGAGAGCAAGGACCGGGCAGGCCCTGGTGCTGATTCACAGAGAGACTGCAGGCAACCCCAGAGCCGGCTGAGCAGCCCAAACCTCAGCCTCCCTCCCCTGCTCGCTGGGGCAAAGGCGCCCAGGAGCCAGCAGCCATCCTGTTACACTCTCTCTCTCAGGCCCCTTGACCTCTGAATCCACTCATTCCTCTCCTCAGTCATTCGGTGGAAGCCCACCGAGCGCCACTGCGCACCACACCCTGTTTTAGACGGTGAACAGAGTGGGCAAGGGGGGTCCCTGCTCCATCGGGGAGACAGACGATCAGCTCTGAGATCACGGTTAAGCTGTTGAGAAAGCAACATGGCAGCAGAGTGACAATGACATGTCATGGGAGACACGTGCATCATTAGAAAAGGCAGGCTATTCTACCCCCAGGAGCTGAGACCTGAGTGGCAAAAAGGAGCTAGTCCATAGAAAGTTCTGGAAGCAGAGCCTTTATTGTTGTAACAGGGCAGGAGGAAGACTTCTGTATATCTGGCAGAGGGATCAATAAGAAGATACTGGTGTCCTGGCATAGGGACAGTGGGGACAGCACAGGTGGCCAGGGCTGGAAGCAAGAGTTCTGTGAAAACCTGGGATTGGCAGTGCTGCTGACACATCTGTGGGTTCATGTTCTTCTCTACAAACTCATGAAGGAAGGATTCCTACTGTGCACACTTGGAAAGATGGGAAAGCTGAGTGGGAGCCAACTGGGATGTGATCCTGTGCTCCAGGGTGTCTGCCCCAACCCCGCGTGGCTGCCCATGCCCTGGCAGTGTCCCTCGGTGGCAACTCAGCGACCCAGGTGTGACTCCAGTGCTCCAGTGCTGTTGTTCTGCAAGGGTTTTGAAAAACGTCAACTTGAGCTACTTATGAACTCTTAGATGAGACTTCGCCCACAGAGCTGGCTGACTGCGCTGTGGACGCATCTGAAGATCTGGTAGCAGCAGCGTCCTGGTTTTAATGGCAACCAAGGGCTGGAACAGTGCCTGTCTTCCCCAGCCCCTCAGGCTCACCTGGGGTCCTTCACCCCTCTACATGACCTTCTCCATCTCTGCATGTTCTGGGCTTTGAGACCAAGCTCTCCAGTCATGAAATGTGCAGGAGAACTCACGAAGTTCAGCCAGCAAGGCGTGACCAGGGAACTCAGTTCCAGCCCTTTGCTGGAATCATCTTGTGTTGGAAATTTTGGTACAAGCTGGTACCACGCACTGTAGGAGGTCAGGCCTGGATGTTACTCCCAGGTCCACCACGTCCCAGCTGGGGACATTGTGCAAGTTCTCCAGCTTCCATCTCCCTGTCTGTGAAGTTCAAACAACTGTAGTGTCCAGGGTATTGGTAGGAGGAGGGGAAAAGCATAATTTGGGCAATGTGCTTGGCATGATGCTATTCTAGGGTGACATCCAGCAGCTGGTGCCAGGGCGAGAATTCCAGAGTGGGAAGCCCCTGAGTGGATCCCCAGCACCACAAAGAGGGAGAGAGAGAAATAAAGGGCTCTTTATTGTTTTGAATTCCCTCTTATTCCTTCTTTAGGAGAGCGTTTCCTCAGTTTCCCTCCTTATCTTTCTCTAATTACAAAGACAAATCCAAGGTGGAGGAAAATTCAAATTGGGTTCCCAAGTACGCAGCTTCCTCTCAGTCTCCTTTAGGACTCAGGGTCCTGGCTCTGCCTTCCGCAGAAGCCCAGACATCAGGCAATGCACTCTATTTCTGATTCCAAGAATTTAAAAAAAAAAAAAAAAGCCATTGGACCCTTTACAATGGGGAAACCTTCAGGGATGGAGATAATGAGGCAAATGTCCCCGGCATAAGCTGTGACTCCAGGTTCGCAGTGGAGACGGGAATGTGACGTTACTTTCCCTTTGGTGGTGACATTCATTTCAAGCCTAGATTTTTTTCTATCGACACGTGGTAAAACGGCCGGGGTTTGGTGCTGGCCACGTTCCTCCACTACAGTGTCGGGGAAGAAGCTGCGTTGTGCATCCATTTTTCCAGGCCTTTCTCCTGCCTTCTCTTTGCGACGTTGGGATCCGCTCCCGGGTTCCACAGCCTGTGCCGTGGCCGAAGCGTGGCCCCAGCCGCCCTTGCCTGGCACAGTGCAGGGAGCCCTCTGCTCCTTCTCAGGGCGTGTGTGTGTGTTCGTGTCTCCACAAAAGAGCCGCTCGGCATTGCTTTTTCAAGTAGAGCTTTAAAAGGCTTATTCACCATGACGTCCCCACTTGTGATTTGAGGTCATCCCCCGAGGAGAAATTGCTAAATCTGTGTAAATTGTCTCTGGCTCCTTTTTCTTACAGATTCTGTCAGATTATCTCTTTAAGAATCCTAAACCCATATTATTTGAGGTGGTTTTAGACTAATGTACCTTCCCAAGCAGGTCTTTGTTGTTCAATATAAAGCCATCGAGAGGGTTCTCCATAAAAAGAGGTGCTTTGTAAGAGCTCAACACAAAAGACACCTCCCTTTCTGTGGGCTAATTTGGAGAGGGAGAAAAGAAAACTGGGTGTTCTCTTTGCACATATGCAGTAAGGAGAGCCATTTGCTGAGGGCTGGGGCTCAGGTATCGGTCCACTTCCGCCTCACCTGCACCCTCCCAGGAAGGAACTGAGGCCAGAGGAGCAGGACAGGTGGACCAAGTCAAGTGACAGTAATAGGATCGAACCTGGGCTGGTGGGCTCCACCCACCCACCCCCCTCTGCCGAGCTTTCTAATCCTACATGGTTAGGCCAAGTGCTGGGCTCTGCTCTTACAAAACCAGACAAGCCAGGTCTGTGTACTCAAGGAGCGCTGGGGTCAGCCAGGGGTAAGATTGGATGCCACAGACAATCCAAGGATGGAAGAGCCCTATCGGATGTGTGTGAGGCCCCAGGGACTCTGGCGAGGGAGGTGAGCTGTCCTGGGCATGGCCAGGGAGAGGCTCAGGCAGCAGGTGCTTAAGCAAAGTGCTGGGGGAGAAGCAATGGCTGGAGCATCTTGGAGGTGGGAAGGGGACCTGGAAGGTAGAGTTCAGGCTGCCCTTGGGGTTCCGGGGTCTGCATTGAACCTCCCACCAAACTTGGACTGAGAACATTTGGAAACGAAATTGCATCTGTATTGAGCATGTGCAGACTCTTTTTCTCGCCATTCCCTAAACCAGACAGTCTAACAGCTGTTTACACAGCACTTACGACGTCCTTGGCATTATAAGTCACCTAGAGATGACAAAGTGTCCGGAGGGTGTGTGCAGATTATATGCAAATACTGCAGCATGCTGTGGAAGGGGATTGATCATGTGTGAAGTTGGGGATCCACAGGGTCCTGGAACCAGGTCCAGGTCTAGGTGCCGAGGGGCAACTCTACTGAGAGAACCCAGGGGCCATGCTCAGAAGCCTAGATCACTGTACATGGCCTGTTTCCTCCTGGGCTTCTTCCTCAGGCTGGATGTAACAGGGTGGCTTGCCCATCCCCAAGCCAATCACCGAAGGAGCGGCCCAAGGGACCCATCAAGGGAGGTGAAGGTCGGACTCACAGGTGTGCGTCTGTAGAATCCCCCACACTCACCACAGCCAAAAAATTCTACACAAATATACACAATGAGAGAGACACACACAGAGCAAACCAAAAATACCCAGAAGTAGACACACTCACACACACATCCACAGACACACACACCCACACCTACAGACACACATACCCACAGACACACACACACACACACACATCCACAGACACACACAGGCACACATACGCACATACATACACACACAGACACACACAGACACACACAGGGGTAAACAAGCCTACAATGCACCCAGGAACCTTCAGCAGACCCAAGGACACCTGTGCATACCACACTTACACACAATCACATACACTCTCTCTCCCAAAATACACAATAGAAATTAGATTGAAGGGTCTCCCAGCCCCTCCCACCATGCCCTCCACCCTGGCTACCCCGCTCTGCACCACGCCCCCCCCACCACATCTCCCCCCCAGGCCTTCCCTTCTTCCTCCAACAGAAGATTCTCCCTCCAGTCTTAAAATCAACCCAGTCTTAGAATCAAATGTGACCTCAGAGGGAAAGGGCTGGCTTAGGGAGTCCCAGCTGAGCAGGGACAGGTGAACTGGGGAGGAAGCACAGTGTTCTGGGCCCATCCCAGTGGAGCGCAGCTGGGAGGAAAGGGAGGTTTGGCGCCCAAATCTGGAGGATTTGGGTCTTGCACTGCCCCCTCCAGGGGTTGAGCAGAGTGGGAGACTCTCCTGGTACCCCACGCATGTCCTGTTTCCTGTGCCACATGTACACCCTGATCCCTGCTGACCTGGTCAAAAGGCAATTTGGGCCCAAGCAGGTCAGTGGGCCTGATAGAGGAGGACGGGTGGAAAGGCACATGCCCAGGCGCCATTTGTCAAGTGTTAATTCAAGAGCCTCGTTGGGTGGTTTGACGACTGACCGTGATTCCTTAAGACTCACCCACGTCTCAAGGGCCCTGCTTTCTTTCCGGGGAAGGCCGTTCATTTCCCATCTGCTCTCAGAAGACCCTTTCTACTTACACGATCTGCAGCCAATGTGAAGGTCATGTCTGATTCCTTCTCTTACTCCACTCATTACTCCGACCAACGCTGATCCGGAGTCCAGGGTGGTTGGTGTTCTTCGGGGCCTGGGAATCCATTTGTGTGCAAGGAAAGCTGACCATGCCTGTCCCTTGTGAACTCACACTTGGTGAAAGAGCATCAATCAGACACGCGGATATTGCATATCGTGTAGCGAATGCCCTGAGGAGGAGCAAAGAGACACAGAGGGGCAATGTGACCTCAGGGAGGACAGCAGGGGAAGGGCTGGCTTAGTCCCAGCTGAGCAGGGACAGGTGAACTGAGGAGGGAGCCAGGTACACACCCGGTGCCCGAGCACCTGGCGGATGGGAGGAGAAGTGCAAAGGCCCTGAGGTGGAGTGGCTCTGATGTGTCTGAGGTCACTGGGGAGAGCAGAGTAGGCCACAGTGGATGACGAGAACCAGGTCAGACATGAGCCTGAAATGGCTGGCTGCTGATCAGGCCAGGCAGGGGCTTGTGGGCTGCAGTGAGGCCTCAGTTTAGATCTAAAATGATGGAAAGGTGTTGGGGGACTGAATGCTGTCACAGTCCAAGTAAACTATGATGGGAAGCAGCTCTGGTCGTTGAGTGGAGAAGGGTCTGGAATGGAAGGTGGAGTAGGAGTAGGCAGGCAGAGCCCATTGGGAACAACCCAGACCTCCAAGGGAGGTGACAGTCACCCCCAGGTGTACCTGGCAGCCAAAGCAGAACCTGCACCACACCAAGCCAGTTGGGTCACATCGTGGTCCATAAAAGCAGCCTCCCCTGGCACCTGCTGAGGCCCTGCTGAGTGCCCAGGACCGTGCAAGGAACTTTACATAAACAAGTCACTCCTGTGACCCCCTTTCAAAGCACATGCTATCATCCCATTTCACAGATTAGGACAACAACCTGTCTCCTTCAGCCCTGGGTGCAAACATTTCAAAGCCACCTACACAGACACAAAAGACCCAGAGTAAACAGAATTGGCTCAGACTATGAGATACTTTGAAGTTTATAAAAGAAAGATTTTTTTAATTTTTTTTTCAAAAAAATTTTCCAAACTTGAAAAAAAATTTTGAGTTTTGTCTTCTAATTTCTTTCTTAAGAAAAATATAATGTATTTCAACTTAGAAATAGTGAAAAGAGAAAGAGAAGAGGGAAATAAAGGTACACACGTGTCCCCATGGTCCCCCTTCTCCACCACCTCTCTTCACCCTTGGTCATGCCCTCAGAGACAGACCCGATATTTCTCACAAGTAAGCTCACACCACAGTGGTGTTCTGCACATTCCACTGCGTGTGTGTGTGTGTGTGTGTGTGTGTGTGTGTGTGCTTGTTTGTTTGGGTGCTGGGGAGTGAAGCCCAGGCTCGAGATGCTAGGCACTCTGCCACCCAGCTACACCGGGCCTCCACCATTCATTCCAGTTCCTGTAAGAGGAGAGCCGTCTCCAGCGGTTCCTCCATTCCCAGCCACTTGGGTTGTGCTCTGGTTAATGAAGACTTGTCATGTCCCAACTTTCCCCCATTAAAATGAAGAAGAAAATAAATATTGAAACGTATTGGTAATAAAAGAGAAAGACACTAGAAAATCCTAGGGTGAAGTAAGATCAGAAATACATTGCAGGGGGGAAGATAAATTTGTAATTCACCAAACTCCTACTACTGGAGATAAATGTGTGTGTGTGTGTGTGTGTGT